ACCGTCCCCTGGCTGAGGGCAGCACTTCCTTCTGTGGCAAAATGGCTCACCCTGAGACACTGCTTCCTTCTCCCCATCCCACCCCCCTGCAGGGGTCCAGCCTGTCCTCTGTGTGGGCTGGTGGCTCCCTTCAGACACAGGTACCCCAATCTGAGCCCTTCACTTCAGTGTCTCTGCTCAGAGAGGGACAGAGGTGCTCAGGGACGAGCATCCCACAGGATTTCTCGTGCTCCCAGGGGCACTGGAGGGGATCCCCCACAAAAGTGCAGACGAAAGGACGAGGTTCTGGCCAACCCTTTGCTTGCAAATGAGACCAAGGGCCAGCCCTGCCCAAATAAGGCCTTTGCAGGAGGGCAGGTTGTGGCTGGGGAGGTTTCTCTGCTTTGTTTGTTCCCCTTTTTGAGAACCACCACTTGAAAAAAAAAAAAAAAAAGCTCCAGGCAGAGCAGCCCTTGCTCTCCACAACAGCAAACATCAGCCTCACTCCCCCTGCAGAGCTGCAGCACCTCTTGCTTCCCACTGATTTCAGGCTCCCTCCACAGCAGGAGCTGCTGCTCCACAGGGGGGTTGTTGCTCTGCAGCAGGTCCCATAAAATAACTTCATGCAGAAGTTTGGAGTGTGAAGCTCCCACATTCCTGAGTGTGAAGCTCCCATGTGCCCATCACCCAGGAGATGCCTGTGCTGGAGGGGTCTCAGGTCATCTTCACCCAGTGCCTCCAGGGCAGCAGCTGAAATCTGTGCTGGGACACCCCCTTGCTCTGGCCTGGGGCACCATTCCCACTTGGGAAGCGTGTGGATGTGACAGCAGCTGTCTCTCCTCAGGCTGCAGTTCTTCACACCATCTCCTTCCTGTTTATGAAACCCTGATCCTTCCCTCCCAGTGCTCAGTGGGCTGTAACTGGATCCTTGGCAGGAGGCAAAGGCAATCCCTGGTTATTCTGATTTAAATCTGTAGGGCTTGTGAGTGTCCTGTTTTATGGAGCTGCTGTCGGGAAGGTGGAGGATGCTGGAGGTTTGTCCTACATGGAATTGGATTACAGGATTGGGAAGCGTTTGTGTGTGGCAGCACTGGGTTTGGGGATTGCCTTTCCTAGTGCTGAGGTGCCAGTGGCAGCAGGTCCATGCAGAATTTACAGCTGGGTCTTGGCTTCAGTGCCAGTGCCCAACCCACCACCCCTCAGGCAGTGTCTCCTCTTTTCCATGGGAAAGGGGGAAAAAGGGGGGGATGAGCTAAAAGAGGGGAGATTTAGATTAGATACAAGGAAGAAATCCTTCCCTGTGAGGGTGGGGAGGCTCTGGCACAGGTTGCCCAGAGAAGCTGTGGCTGCCCCATCCCTGGAAGTGTCCAAGGCCAGGTTGGAGCAACCTGGGCTAGTGTCCCTGGAAGGTGTCCCTGCCCATGTCAGGGGGTGGAACAAGATGGGCTTTAAGGTCCCTTCCAGCTCAGCCTATCCTATAACTCAATGATTCCCTGCCCCATCTCAGGGGTTATCTGCTGTATCAGGTCCTTGGGACGCTGCTTTGGGGCCCCACGTGAGGTTTGCACACCCACATCTCATGGGAGGGTTGCACAACCCTGTCTGCTGGCTCAGGGGACAGATCCTGCACCGAGACACTGCTCTGTGCTCTGCTGCTACACAGGCAGGGATACCTTAACAGGGACAGAGATGGGAACTGGCCAAGTCAGGCAGTGCAGACATGGGGAGCAGAGAGGGAAGAAGGGCTTCAGCCCTGTGGTTCTGGATCAGTTCTCTCCCAGCTTCCATGTAAGCAAGGAAAACAGGGAGCCACATGTGCACTCCCAGTTCCCTCAGGAAACCAGCCACATTCAGCTGTGGCTTTTAGCACCTTCAGTGTAACAGACTTCTTCCCTATGTCTAATCTAGATCTCCCCTCTTTTAGCACAAAACCATTTCCCCTTGTCCTGTCACAACAGGCCCTGCTAAAAACTCTGTCCCCATCTTTCTTGGAGCCCCTTTGGGCACTGGAGGGGGTTCTAAGGTCTCCCTGGAGCCTTCTCTTCTCCAAGCTGAACACTCCCAGCTCTCCCAGCCTGTCTCCAGAGCAGAGGGGCTCCAGCCCTTGAAGCATCTCCATGGCCTTCTCTGGCCCTGCTCCAGCAGGTTCATGTCCTTCCTGTGCTGATCCAGAAGCTGCTGCCTCCTCTTGGCCTCTTCTTTGGAGAGCTGCAATTCCACTGATCCTGCAGGGAGAGCATCCCTGCTGGACTCAGCTTTTGCACTGCTCAGAGCAGGGGCAGGGAAATTTTGAGGAAGGAAACTACAGAGACTCTCAGCTGCCTGTTGCTGCCTCGTGTAGTGCCTGAAGTTGCCCTTTTTTTCCCCTTTTTTCCCGTGTGTGACACGGGGGACTGGCCTGATCCTCCTGAAAAGGCAGCTGAGATTTGCTGATGGCTCTTTCCACGCCTAAGCACCCGTAAAGCCCGTCCAGTGTTCTCGTTTGGCCGCTGCATTGTGCAGCCGTCGCCGCACAAAGCGATTTCCCCACACGAAACTGCGGTTTCCTTTCAGCAAAAAACTCCCAAAATACATCCCAGTGACATAACTACGGGGTTCTCGTGCCGCTCTGGGCACTGCTCCGGGCTCCAAGCTCGGGAACCAGCTTGGAAAGGATGGGAGAATAACAGCCTAAAGCTTTGGAGATGCTGAGGCTCCTCTTCCGCAGCAAGCCAAGGATCCAGGAGGCAAGTGTCTGATAAAATATCTGCTCTGTCTCTTCTGCAGGACACAAGAAATCAGGGAACCGCCCGATTGTAGAGAGCCAGACCTTATCCAGGGTTAATTTACAACTTCTCTTTTGGAAAAAAAAAAAGGCATTTTGGAGGGTACAACTGCTTTCTAAGAAGTGTCTTTCCTAGGTGCTGCCAGATTTTGGGAGTGTTTTGGGACCCAGAGCATGTGTTGAAGCAACAGAAATTAAAACAGCTTCTGGTTAGTTGTTGATGAATAGGAAGGGAAATGCCAAGAGCAGAATCTGTTTCGAGCTTTTGCAGGGTGGTTGTTTTTTTTTTTTTTTTCTTCTTCATTGCATTTAGATGTGACGGTCTCAACCAGCAAAGTGACAAAACGCGAGCAAAAACAAAACCTGTCTCTTGGCTTCTGGCTTGTAAAATCCTCCCTCAAAAAAAAAAAAAAGGGGGGGGGAGAAAGTGGGAAAGAGGACTTGTATTTTGAACTTGGAAAAAAAAACAACAAACCCTCAGTATGCCCCCAGCCCCTGATCTGAGGTGGCTCAGCCATCTGTGAAGGCAGCATTGGGAAGTTCGGAAAAGTTGTCTCCTCCTCTGACTTGAGGGGACCTCTCGGGCTCAGCCCTGGCTGGTGGCTGGGGGTGTCCTTCTATTTTCCAGGAGCAGCAAATACCATTTCCCAGCAGTGCAGGGATCTGTGTAAATGCCCCTCTGGGGGCTGTGGGTGATGGAAGGTGGCTGGGAGCTCCCAGGAGCAGCGTGTACTGGTGGGATGGACCTGCAGAGACATCCGTGCTTGTGTGAATGAAATCCATCCGTCCCCATCCCAGGCAGGGTCTGGTGCCTGGTCTGAAGGAGCCAGGAAGGAGCTGGTTTCCTGGTGGGTGGGTGGGATCCCCGGGGAGGGGGTTTTGCTGAGGTTTTTATGATCACTTTTCACTCAGGAAGGGGTTCAGCTGGGGTTTTGGTGGATGTGTCAGCCAGCTGCCCTGGCATCCCCTTCCTGCAGTGACAGCAGCAGGACAGCCACCTTCTCCCAGCCCCAAAGAGATCCTGCCTGCTCCTGCAGCAAGGGCAGAGCAGTGGAGAGGAGGAAGAAGAGGTGACTGCAGGGGCCCCTCTGATCTGGAGCTGAAAATCAGTTAATTCCTAGCTCTAATCTCACTGTTCTCATGCGGCTCCTCCCGTTCCTCAAGGCTTGCTTTTCCTTCTCTTCTCCCTCTCTGTAGCTCCTGTCCCACTTCCAGGTCACTCTGTGCCCACCCAGGTGTCAGTGCTGGCACTGTGGGCTCCATTCTGCTCTCACACTTCCTGAGACAACACCAGAGAAGTCACAGCTCGAGTCCCCCTTTGCTCCCTGCAGTCACAGGTTTTATCTCACCCACAGCCAAAGACTTGAACCTCTCGGAGGAAATCCTCTGATTTGAGGGTTTTTGGGGGGTGATTTTTCTATTCAAACTTGGCTCGTGATCTAAAAACCAGGAGAAGGAGTACCTAGATGAGATTGCAAGTCTCTGTACCTTCATCAAAATACACCAGGCTTGGGGACCGACCTTGCAAAAACTTACTGACCTTGCAAAAACTTACTCCTTCCCTTAAGTCTGAGTTTACTGGAGGAGAAGGAGCCATTTCCTAGCTGAGAAGCAGTTCTTTTCTGAGCTCCCCCTAAATGCTTCTGCATCTCTCCCTACCAGGGTTCACAGACTCACATCTGGCCCCAGAGGCAGCATAAACTGACATTTCTGATGCTGCTGGGGACCTGTCAGAGCAGCTGGGCTGGCCCTGCCCTGCCCTCAAGGGATGTGGGGAGCTCTGGTATTTGAGTATGTTCCTCCTGGTTGCTTTAGAAACTGCTGAGTGTGCCCAGTCTTTGCCATGGGGGTGCCAAGCTTCTCTGCAGACCCAGGACAGATGCTTTTGGAGCTTGTCCAGGTGTAGCAGAGAGTAAAATCTGATCTAGACATTAATCAACCTGCCAGAAATTAATTCTCTCTCCTTGGTGCTCTGATTCTTGGGGGACATGTGTGACCAAGTGCCAGCACCGTGTCCTGAGCACTCTGTCAGAGTTTATCAAAGCCGGTCAATATGAATTTATGTAACAGGAGCTGGCTCCAGCTGCTCTCCTGGAGCCACCACACAGCTCAGAATCACATCCCGAGGAGCAGTGGCTGGTGGGACACCACCAGTGACTGTGAACAGCTCGCCTGGTCTTGCTGAACAAGTTAGTTGGGAAGAGTTTAACAGAATATCACAGCCCCTCTGTGCTGATGCTTGTCTGTTGTTCCACAGGTAAAATCCGACATCACCTGGATAGAGAAAGACCTCGTGGACTCAGCAGACAAGGTAAGAGAGCCCGTTGCAGTGGGACTCATCCGTTTCATTTGCATTTTGCCCCGTGACGGGTTGTCCCACGTCAGGGACCTCTCTGAAAACAAAACCCTTTCCTGCCACCCGCCCCTGAGAGCTGAGAGCTCTGTGGGACTGCTGGTGCAGAGAACAGCTATGGCTCACGTGACATCCTGGACTTGGCTTCATCCTCCTCCTCCTTCCTCCCCACACCAGCCCCCTTTCCGTGCTGTCGTTTTGCGTCTCCTGTGGTTTTCTGATCTTGTCGCCCTGCTGGGGTGGGCACTTTTAGTTGTGTGGACACAGCAGGGGGGGGATTTATATTGTCTTTTTCTGAGGCTCCTCTCCCCACGCTGGTAACACAACGTGGAAAATTGTCTTGGCTGGGACAGGATTTATCAGGAGCTGGCTGCTCTCCCACACGGCTCCACTGAGCAGTGTGAGGCTTCCCTGGGAGTGGTGAGGCTTGTCTTTGGGCAACTCGCTGTGGACACGGTTTCTCCTTCCCTAGACTGTGGCAGGGTGAGGGAGGTTTGAGTTTTTTGGGGCTCCTGGCTGTGCCCAGCAGCTGCACGGTGCTGTTCCCAGCTCCTTGAGCCTCACCAGCCACCGAGGTTCTCACCGTGGAGCAGGGACCAGCTGCCTGGCTGGTATTAAGTCATTTGGGTCTTTCACTATCAGTTCTCAAAAAGCACGTTCTGGGGGTGGAGGAGGCAAGACAGTCATAATTTGTCTCTCTGGTCCAAACCAAGATCCCCTTTTCATCCCCTGTGCTCTCTGGAGTAATTCAGAAATAACGCTGACACGGGGCTATTTCCAATTGCAAAGGTGTGTGGGCGTATTTTGACTCATTTTGAGGGGTTTCTTTCTTACCTGCACACCCCAGGGTCTTGCTGTGGAAAACATCTGTCTGCCCTGATGGAAGGGTCAAAGGGGAACAGTCTTGGAGGGGGAAGGAGGCAAAACAAGCCCTCTAAAACCTCTGCTCTGTCCTGCCAATAATCCAAGCCACAGTGGGGTTGGAACCTCTGCATCAGAAATGCCCTTAAAAACACCTCACATGGACCTTCCCAGGCTGTTCTTAGATAACTCCAGCATCCACAGCAAGAAGTCTTGTGCAACATTATGCAAGTGAAGGACTGAATTCAAATCCCAGTGATGGTCATGGGTTTGATTCACCCTGAATCCCATCATCCCTGTGCCAGTGTGAGAGCAGAGATATGTGCAGCTCTCCGAGGTGGTGTCACACTTCTCTGTGGGTTCTCAAGGGCTTTCCTCTTCCTTTTTAAAGACAAAAGTGGCTTCTCAGAATTTTGCCCTGTTGTGGAAATACCTCAAAGCTCACAGCCTGACGTGAAATTCGGGCAGCACTAGGTGGAAATCAATTTAACTAGACCGTGTGTGTTTTCTATCAGTGTCTTGTCTGAGCCAGGGAACCCAAACACGAACGAGGAGCCGTGAGATTATTATTTTTTTTAAAAGGAAACCCCAAAAAAAAAAAAAAAAAAAAACAAAAACCTTACCAAACCAAACCAACAAAAAAAAAAAAAAAAAAGAAAAAAAAAAAAGAAAAAAGCCCCAACCACAAGAGCTGTTGCTGGGGAGTGGGAGAGCGAACCTGCCTCCGTGTGACCGACTCTCTCGTCCCCACTGCGCATCTGCCACCGCCTCCAACCACCTGTATCTCCTCATCCGGCACCCTGAGCCCCCCCCAAAGCCCTGGGAGCTGGCGGGGGCGGCGGTTCCTGGGGCTGGACGATGTGGATCGGGATGGGAGGATGGAGAGCGACCCTAAACTTCCTCGCCTCTGGGCGTTCCTCACGCTCTGGCTGCAGAGGAAGCACCGAGCCAAGCCCTGCAGCCTCCAGCTGCCTGCCCCCAGCCAGCTCAGCAGCCCGGTCAGTACCACGGCCCTGCCTCCCTCTGCTTCCCTTGCTCCCGCTGGCTGATGCTCCCGAGGGATATTCGGAGCAGTCTGGCTTGTTTCTCTTTCTCTGCTTTCTGGGATGGTTTTTTAATGGTGCCGTTGGAAGAAACTCGTCTCGGTGTGCTCTTGTGCTGGACACTTGTGGTGTGCTGCTAACCAGGCTGTAAGAGCTGCTGGCCAGAGTCCTGAGTGTTGAATTCTAAGTTGCTGGACGAGTCCATGGGAGGGAAACACTCCCTTGTGTCAGCAAGATGCCAAATGGCATCTCAAAGCGTTTCTCAGTGTCTCTATCAGCAGTGTCTGAGCTGGTGCCACTGCTGGCCTCGTTGGTGTGTGTGGTCTGGCTGTGTATGCAAACCCTGCCTGCCCTCAGCTGCAGCTTGGGCTGCTGAAACCACTTGCAGTTGAACATGCCAGGTTTTGCTGTTGCAAAGAATTCCCACAGCTGTGGAAACACAGCTCTGCTGCTCCTGAGGAGCTGTGGTAGGAGGATCACGGGATGGTTTGGGTTGGAAGGGACTTTAAAGCTCATCTTGTCCCACCCCCTGCCATGGCCAGGGACACCTTCCACCAGCCCAGGTTGCTCCAAGTCCCGTCCAACCAGGCCTTGGACACTTCCAGGGATGGGGCAGCCACAGCTTCTCTGGGCAACCTGTGCCAGGGCCTCACCACCCTCACAGGGAAGGATTTCTCCCTAACGGGTCCTGGATGGGTCCAGATGCCTCAGAGGTGGATACAGGAGTTCATTTTAAATGTTCCTCTCAGCATAGGTGTGTGATGCTACGGGGTGAAACATGTGTGGTCGTACAGGTGCTGATGCTGTGCAGAACTGGTTTCTCTTCAGCGTTTTCAGGAATATGAAGGGAGGGGAAGAACCCACAGCTTCCACTGGTCCCCTCCCCGAGTCTCTTCCTGCTGTGGGGTCACTCCCTGGAGAGCTGGACTAGCAGGAGGAGACCTCTTAGCTGGCTCCTGCTCCAGCTCTTGGCTAGAGGTGGGAAGCTGTTTCTCATGGCAGCTTTCTGCAGGGACTAAGCCTCCAAACGAAACCAGAAATGCAAAGTGGCTGCTTTAAGCGGGAGATCATAAGGAACATGAAAACATGTTGTTGCAGGGATTATAGGATCCTTCTCCCCTGTGATCACTGGGGCCAGGGAAAGGCAGGATAACACCAGGGAGCTCCTCTGCCTCTGCCCCCTCCCCGTGCTCGGGCTGGCCCTGCTGCACCCCTCGGGAGTGTGGGCTCCTCTGCCAGCTCTGAGTGTCTGAAGAACACAGCAGAGAGCAAAGCCACCACCATGGGAACAGAGCCACTTCCTAAGCTAGAGAAAAGCCCAGCCTGGGAGCGGGGAGGGAAGGGTGGGTGCTCAGTGCAGGTGGGCAACCACATCCGCAGGCGCTGGGAGGGTGGGGAGTGGGCTGGGGCAGAGGAGAGGCAGGGCCTGGCACTTGGTTCCTGTTGGGTTTAAAAGCTGCTTTGATTAGGTGGTTCCCGACCAAGTGTCTGAGTAGCTTTAGTAAATAAAGTGTAATTTCTTTTTTTTTTCCCCCCCAACTCCGCAAGGGGAAAAACGAAATAGTGGCTGCAGCTTTCTGCAGCCTCTGATGGCCACGTCTGCCCAAGGGTCAGGGAGAACTGAGCTCAATGCACTTTGGAATATAATTGCTGGCCTTGGAGTCCAAAAAGCAATATCCATATCTGCACTGGATAACGTGGGAGGGAAGTGCTGAGGAGCCTGGGCTTGCCCTTACAAGATGTCCAGCTACAAGGGATTTATGGCCTGAGTAAGAGTCATGTCTGTAGGAGTGGGAAGTTGAGTCCAACCCGCCCTGTGGGAGAGGGGCTGGAGCAGGTCAAGCTCAGAGGAAATCCAGGATCAGATATACTGACTAGGCATGATAAACAGAAGTAGAGGGAAAGGCACAGATGGAAGACTACTACTATAAAAAGTCTCAGTGTATTTGGGATGCAATAGAAAGCAGCACAAGGTGGTTTTTTTAGGGGCTTCAGTCATCAGAGGTATGGAAAAGGTTTGCTGGGAACAGGAGGTGTTGCAGCATCACCTCAGGGTCTGTGGCTGTGCTGGAGTGCTGGCCTAGCTCCGTTGATGAGTTTATTCTATTCGTGCTGATTAAATCTATTTTTTCTTCTTTCCTTTTTTTTTATAAGTAAAATAATGTGTTTTAAACAAAACATGTGCCAGAGACCTTGGCTTCCCCTCAATCTTCTTGAAGCCTCGAGTCTGTTAAAGCATCATCTGTATGTGCTGAAGATGCACTAAGACTTATGTTGCAGAGTTGCTCAGATTGCTGAGCAGATGGGCTCCAACATGTCTGATTTTTGCCAGCCCTGGCCCTGTTTTGACAACAGTGCCGTATTTTTTTGTGTGTGTGTGTTGTGGGATTTTTAGTGGCATAAACACTCCTGTTTTTGCTACCAGTGCCTTAAAAAGGAAGGTGCTTTGCAAGCACTCTTCTGAAATGCAGTTCAAAGCCAGCGCGGCACCCGCGGTGAGCGGAGCCGCCGGGAGAGCAGGGGGAGTTTGCCAAGGCTGCCTGGTGCTACCTGCCCCTGACTTATTTATTCCAGATGTTGATCCCTGTGACAAGCACCAGCTTCCATGGTTCTCTCAGATGTGGTTACTGGGGGTCTGTAGCTACAACCCTTGTTCCATGATCCGATAGGGCTGCTTTCCCTTGTTCAGGAGTCCCGGCCAACCGTGTCCCCTCTTTTCCAGGGAGAAGGTGTCGTGCAGGAGTTCAACATCACACACCATGTGAAGGAAGGCTCTGAGAAGGCTGATCCCTCGCAGTTTGAGCTGCTGAAGGTGCTGGGACAGGGCTCCTTTGGCAAGGTGAGATCACTCTTTCCTATATGCCATGACAGAAATGATTTTGATGACAGAAGGGACTGTTCCCAACAAAACCACTTTCCTGGTTCCCACCGGACCGTGAAAATCTGATGGATGAGCCCAGCTGAGCACCCAAATGGGTGCCTGTAACCTGGAAGGTGACTGTAGTGATGCCTTTCCTAAGGGCCAGCCTGAATGTCCAAATTGCCCTGTAATTCCTTTTGCAGATGGTCAGGAGGAGAGCAGGAACGTCCTGCTCGTGAACGCAGGTGTCACACAGGGCAGAAGGGCCTCCTGCAGCTCTTCAGCTGCCTGCCAAACTGTCAGTCAAACTGAGGGCTTGAAGGGCTCAGGCATGTTCCTCCCTTCTCAGAACTGTGTGCCAGGAACTGGTTCTAGCCCCAGTTTATGGTCCAGTTTCCCTTCTGTGAAGCAGGAAGGAAGTAGCCTGTAACTCTTATCTATTTCAGCATGTAAATAATCCAGTCTCTTACAGACCATCTGCTGGCACATTAAATCAGCTTCATGTCAATCAGTTATCAGCTGACAGTGGGGGCTTGGACAGGACTGTGTGCTGTTTCCTGGGCAAATGCAGCAGTGGCTTTGTAGAATCAGAGAATCATTTGGGTTGGAAAAGACCTCCGAGATCATCCAGTCCAACCAGTAACACTGCCAAGGCCACCACTTGCAGGTGGTGTGTTTTTGAAGCTGCCTAAAACCAGGTAGAATGAGACACCAGGGAAAGGAAGGAGGCAAAAATCCAGAGGATGCAGGACCTGAATAATAAGGAGTTGATCTGACTGACAAACCAGCAGGATTTGTGGTACGTTGAAGCATCAGTGCTTCCAGTCACAGCTCCCAGGCATCAGCCAGAGCCCCACGGGAGCTGCAGGAGTGAGCAAGAGGTGTGGAAGGCAAGAGGAGGGAAGTGCAGCATGAAAACACAAATGCTGCAATGGCTGGAGGTGGGGGGTGAGGAGAGGAGTCCACACACAGCACTTCCCTGAAAACCCCATGGGGTTTCACAGGAGGCACAGCTGCTTTTTAGGGTTACTGTGAGGTCTGCCACTTTGGGAGGCATCCAGCTCCTACTGCCAGTGTTTAGTGCTTGCTGAATGTGCTGTTCTTCTGCCTCAGGTTTTCTTGGTGAGAAAAATAACACCACCAGACAGCAACCACCTCTATGCTATGAAAGTGCTTAAGAAGGCGACACTGAAAGGTAGGAAGGAGACTCTTACCGTGATGCTCTGACCCTCCCTGACTTAAAGAGCGCTGGGGAAATGTCACAGCAGTCCTGGGGTGGTTTAGGTAAAAGAGGAGCATCTTTATCCCAGCCAAACAGCCTCCTTTTCTCTCCATCTGCAACAGACCCTTGGCTCAAGCTGCTTGGTGCTCAAGGGCTTAAGGTTGAGGACAAGACTGGGGTACTCTGAGGCTTTTTCTGTGTCTGAGCTGCTCCTGTCTTCCCACAGTGCGTGATCGACTAAGGACAAAGATAGAAAGGGACATCCTGGCTGATGTAAACCATCCCTTTGTGGTGAAACTCCACTATGGTGAGTGTGGGGCTGTTTGGGATGCTGGGAGAGGGGCTGCAGGCTCCAACAGACTCTTTGCTTTTAAATGCAATCCCCTTAACACAAATCCTTTCCTGGAAGGGTCTGTGGTCCCGTGCCCGCTCCAGCTATTGAATGGGGAACAGAGAACAGACCAGGAGAAGAGGTTGAAACATCAAATCCTTGGGATTAAAACATTAAATCAGGAGAAACTGAGAAAGCAGAGTTAACTAGTCAAGCTAGAGTCAGCTTTGTTCGCTGTGAAGTGACCAGTGCCTCTCCTGGGAAAACAGCCCTTTCCATAGGGCTGGAAGGGAACCAGACCCCCATAAAAGGAGGATTTTCTGCAGTGCCAGAGTGCTGTGGTGAGCTCCCATTTCAGCAGCACAGACAGGCCATCTCCTTTACCTCAGATATCAGCCCTACCTGTGTTTAACCCAGTAACCACGCAGGGCATCTGCCCAACTGGAGCCACTGGGATTTAAGTGATTAATGGAACACCACGGAGCCTTCCCTCAGTGGAGGGGTCTGATTCCCGCTCCGGCTTGTGTTTCAGCATTCCAGACAGAGGGGAAGCTGTACCTCATCTTGGATTTCCTCAGAGGAGGTGACCTTTTTACTCGGCTTTCCAAAGAGGTGGGTATGCTCTGGCATCTCGGTGGGTTGCTGAGGCTCCCAGTTCATCTGTGCTTAATGGCCTGGAGAAGGGACTCACCCTTGAGAGGGGTGGAAACAACCTGCAACCTGCTGCTAGTCCACAGCTGGCAACGGGAGAGGGTGTTTTGGGAATCCTGTGTTCTGGCAGGAAAGCAGCAGCACAGGCAGCAGGTCTCACCTCTGCAGCAGCTTCTGCTGGGCATCGTGTTAATAAAAAAAACTAAAAGAGGGGAGATTTATATTAGATGTTGAGAAGAAATTGTTCCCTGTGAGGGTAGGGAGGCCCTGGCACAGGTTGCCCAGAGAAGCTGTGGCTGCCCCATCCCTGGAAGTGTCCAAGGCCAGGTTGGACGAGGCTTGGAGCAATCTGGGCTAGTGGAAGGTGTCCCTGCCCCCTTCCAACCCAAACCATTCTATCATTCCATGAATGGGTACTTTAGGATGGGGGTGAACTCTGGGAACAGCAGGAGGGGGCAACATGGACGTGAAGGGTCTCACTGCTGGCGCTGTGACCCCAGCACCTCTCCTCTCCCTGTCCCTCCCTGCAGGTCATGTTCACTGAGGAGGACGTGAAGTTCTACCTGGCGGAGCTGGCGCTGGGACTGGACCATTTGCACAGCCTGGGGATCATATACAGGGATCTCAAACCAGAGAAGTACGTGTGGCCCAGCTGAGCCAGGGATCCCAGTCCTGCATCCAGCCCCGAGCCTGTAGCCAGCCCTCCACACAGGCAGGGCTGGAGGATGGCCCAAGGCCAGGCAGATGGGAGGTGGCAGTGCCAATCCAAGGCTGCTGCTCCTCAGATCAGTGGTTGTGGCCAGGAGGCAGCATATGTGCACCACGTGTGTGAACAGCAATCCTTGGCAGCCTCTGGGCTCCAGCTTTAAGCAGTTTGAGAGCCTCTGGGGGAAGGAGGCACCAGGCTGGGCCTCTGCATGGCTTGGTTCTCCTTGCCTGGGGTATGTGGGGATCAGAGCAAGTGCAACCTGTGTGGGTCATTTGTTCCATGTGAAGCTGAGGATGTAGAGAGAAGGGAGCTGCTCCTGGTCCCTCTTATGTCTTGGTGGTGGAGCTTAAAGCACTGGGAGAAGGGACAGATAACTTTCTCCTCTGGATTTTGGCAGCACCTCAGACCATCCACTGCTGTGCTTGTTCTCACCAGCCCTCACTGCAGACTGTAACAACTTGTTTTTTCCATTCCTGCTGTAGCATCCTCTTGGATGAAGAAGGACACATCAAACTCACAGGTGAGGGACTCCACGAGGCCTTGGGCTCCTGCAAGGCCGGTTCTTGAAGTATGGGAGCTCCTTGTGTGACTGCTCAGGGCACGTGGGGGTGTGTGCTGACGGGCTTTCTCTTGTGTAGATTTTGGCTTGAGTAAGGAGGCCATAGACCACGAGAAGAAGGCCTATTCCTTCTGTGGGACAGTGGAGTACATGGCCCCAGAGGTGGTGAATCGCCAGGGCCACTCACACAGCGCTGACTGGTGGTCCTACGGGGTCCTAATGGTAGGTACCCAGCCAGAGTCTGCGGGCACTGGGAGGAGCAGCTGCTCCAGCTCTGGAACACCCGGACACGGGTCTGTGTGTCTGCCAGACCTGCTGACCTGGGGTGTTCCCCACCCTCCCCAAAGGGCTCCGTAAGGGGCTGTCCTGGCGCCCAGCCAGGAGCTGGGTGGGTTTCCCGGGGGAGGCAGCGCTCCCGAGGGGGCTGTCCCGGTGAGCTCTGGGATGTGGGGGTGTCCGTGTCCACCCCAGCGCCGGGATGTGGGTGTCCGTGCAGATCTGGTGCCACCATCTGGCAGCTGCTGAATCCCAGGGCTCCCGCAGGAGCCGGCGCTGGGCTGAAGGTGTTCCCACTGCACAAACCTTGTGATCTGAAGCTCCTCCTGAGAAAACACGATGCCTGTGAGCTCTGCTAGAGCCAGGCTTGGGATCCCTCAAGCTTTTCACGAGCAGATGAAGGGGCAGTGAGATCTGTGCAACCCTCAGCCTTGCCCAAACATGATCCCCCCCCTTTTTCTCCTTCCCTCCCAGTTTGAGATGCTCACCGGTGCGCTGCCCTTCCAGGGGAAGGACCGTAAGGAGACCATGACCCTCATCCTCAAGTAAGAGGAGTTTCTCTCTCCTGCCTGCATAGGAGGTGCTGCTTTTTGAGCCGTGTTGCAATCTGGGGGCTCTCGCAATTTAATGGCGTTATTTGGCAAGCGGTTTCCTACCAACAGTTAGTTAGAAGGGTGCAGTGTAAATGCCAAGGGGATGACTGTGCTTTTTGGGGGTGGAGGTGCTGCAGTCAGCTTGTGGCTTGACTTCTTTAAACCTGCAGCTGATTGCAAAACTTCCTCCCCAGAGCGAAGCTGGGCATGCCACAGTTCCTGAGTGCTGAGGCGCAGAGCCTCCTGAGAGCCCTGTTCAAGAGGAATCCAGCCAACAGATTAGGTAAGGCAAATGTTTTGTTTCCTTCTAAATACACCTGATGCCCTATCGGGGCCTCTCTCACCCTCCTGGGTCAGCAGCGTGTTCACACTTGTGCTCAGTTAATGGTTAGTTGCAGCCAAGTTCTCCATCACCCCTGGCTGTGTTGTGTCACCCTCACTTTGTCAGGGGTTTAGTGCAACGTGCTCCGTGGTGCATCTTGCAGGTTCTGGACCAGATGGGGCAGAAGAGATCAAGCGCCATCCTTTCTACTCCACCATTGACTGGAACGTGAGTATCAGAAACATGAAAGCAGATTTCCTCACCATTCAGCGCCAGCAATTCACTTCTGGCAGCAGGAATAGCGTGGTCGTGGTGCTTGAGCAGCCACGGGAGAGCCACCAGCCCCTGTCCCCACCCATTCCAATAATCCTTCCCGAAACTAAAATTCTGTTTGTCACAGAACTGTTCCATACTTGGGTTGCCTGTCACCTCACCTCAGATCGAATTTACTCATCTGTCGGCAGAGAAGCGCAGGTTTTAATTGGGGTTTGGCACGAGGTTTGTCATGCACTAAGTGGGAAGGAATCAGGGAAACGTTCCTGGCGAGGAAATCAGGGCAATCACTGAACTGGCACTTCCCAACTGCTTCTGGCCAACTCCCTACTTTGCCACACAATTTTGTTTCTTCCCTGTTTTCCCTTACTCGGTAAGGGATTTGAAGATCACTCCTAATACTTCCAAGGTCCCTGCAAGCTGCTAGACTGACCCTCCAGCAATGCCAGTAAAGCTTATTTCCAGTTTTTGCTTCAGGAAGCAATTTAAAAAGGCACTTGTGGGAGTTCTGGGATATGAATGTCCTCCTAATGCATCTCCTCTGGCCACCCCTGGGGAGATACGTGTCAGCAAAGCCCTAATGGGAGTTAGGAGGAGGTGGGAGAGCCTGTCAAGGAAAATACTTTATGGATGCTGCACTTGGAGTGGGGGCAAGTTGCCTATAGAACACTTATTTTCATGATTTAATATATGATGTAACTCGTAATATTTCTCCACAAACTGACTCAAAAGCAACCCACCAGGCTGCTGAGCTGTAGCTAAATGCTAAGCCAGGGAGTTTCACAAAATCTCTTTCCTTGCCGGCCTTTGCACCCTCTGGAAGGATGCACCCGTCAGAGCACTCTCTGTGTTTTGCAGAAGCTGTACCGCAGGGAAATCAAGCCCCCCTTCAAGCCTGCAGTGGGCCAGCCAGACGACACCTTCTACTTTGACACAGAATTTACGTCGCGCACGCCGAAAGGTTTGTGGGACTCCACACAAAGCCAGAGTTTCCTGTGTGAGGTGATGCTCTGTGGTTTAATATTTAACACCGCAGAGCATCTGGTGCCTGCAGGGGCAAGGTTTGCCTCGGGCTGGTGCTGCCAGCTCAGATGGTTCCAGCACTGAGAGGGTGGCCCAGCCATAGAGATGTCGGGCTCTTCTCACAAGTAAGACAAGAGGAAATGGCCTCAAGTTGTGCCATGGGAGGTTTAGGTTGAATATTAAAGAAAACTGCTTCATGGAAAGGGTTGTCAAACCCTGGCACAGCTGCCCAGGGCAGTGGTGGAGTCCCCATCCCTGGAGGCATTTAAAAGACATGTGGATGTGGCACTTGGGGCCACGGTTTAGCAGCAGCCTTGGCAGGGCTGGGGGAATGGTTGGACTCGCTGATCTTAGAGGGCTTTTCCAACCTGGATGACTCCATGATTCTCTGTGGGGTGTTAGGGGTAAGCTGGGTGCTGCTGGTGTGGCTCTTGTTTGGAATAAACTGAGCATCAGCCACAGCTCCTGGGAGCGAGGGGAAGGCTTGCAGAACCAGCCTTCTTCAAGCTGTGTTTCCACTCCTGTTGCAGATTCCCCAGGTGTCCCCCCCAGTGCGGGGGCCCACCAGCTCTTCCGAGGCTTCAGTTTCGTGGCGACCGGATTGATGGAGGATGGCAAGGTGAAACCTGCCCAGCCACCCCTGCATTCGGTTGTGCAGGTAAGAAATGGAGACACTGGAACTGTTTGAAAGCGCAGGGATACTCCAGGTCTGCGCCGCCCAGAGCAGCTCTGACAGGAAGCCCGAGGCGGTGTCTGTTTGGAATTCTTGCATCCTGTTTTTCTTTCATTTCCATTGACTGTCACACTGTGCACAGGTTGGCAGGAAAACGCAGGGCTGTGGCTTTTCCTCTCCCCACGTGGATCTGTGCTGGTGGGGGGTCTGTAAATGCCTGTGGGTTGAAGGTGCCACCCAAACACACCGCGCTCAGAGCAGACAGTGTTATCCCACTGACCTATATCTGCCTTGTTCTCTTCTCCTCCCTCTCCCAGCCGGGAGGAGAAGCTGTGGGATGTAGCAGACAGTCTGCCAGCTCTGCCAGTTAACTCATCACATTGCACAAACCCTTCCCTGAACCCTCACAGCTCATCTCTCCTTTCTGCTCCTGCAGCAGCTGCACGGCAAGAACGTCCAGTTCAGCGACGGGTACGTGGTGAAGGAGGTGATCGGCGTCGGCTCCTACTCCGTGTGCAAACGCTGCATCCACAAAGCCACCAACATGGAGTACGCAGTCAAGGTCAGAGCCCTGCCCTCGGAACTGAGCTCCCCTGCTAGATTTTTGCCCGGAGAAGCTGTGGCTGCCCCATCCCTGGAAGTGTTCAAGGCCAGGTTGGACAGGGCTTGGAGCAGCCTGGTCTAGGTGTTCTTTAAGGTCCCTCCCAACCCAAACCATTCTGTGATTCTATTTCTGCTCATCCCACGAAGAGCAAAATAACATCCAGGAGTGAAATCGCTTTCCCTGCTCGTGTAGGGCCTAAAAGGACAATTTCTGTGCTCCTGTGCATGTACCTGCACTTCCCCAGGAATAGCAGGGAGCAGCATTCTCTTCCCTCAGAGGGAGGAGAGCATCTCACCTTTGCTTGCAAAGCTGTGGCTACACCAGATCTTAACAAATACAACAGACATAAAACTTTGGGGATTAGGAACACAACTTCCCCTTCTCCAGCTGCTACAGAGAGCAGGGGAGCAGATATGGCACAGGAGCTCTGCAAGGCCCTAAACTCAGCTTGTGTGCTTTGTCCTGGCCCCGTTCTCACCCTGTTATGACTAATCCTGCTTCTCCCTACTCCTGCAGATGATTGACAAGAGCAAGCGAGACCCTTCTGAGGAAATAGAAATCCTGCTGCGGTACGGGCAGCATCCAAACATCATCACCTTGAAAGATGTGAGTGTGGCTTGAATGACTTCCCTGTGTTTTGGTTTAGGAAGTGCAGGCTGCTCAGGGAGCAGATTTCAGCTCCAGCATGGGTGGCCCAGTGGCTCAGTGTCACTCTGTCTCTGTTATGAAAAGGTTCTTCCCCCAGAGGGTGGTTGGCACTGCCCAGGCTCCCCAGGGCAGTGGCCATGGCCCCAAGGCTGCCAGAGCTCAAGGAGTGTTTGGGCAACACTCTCAGTGACAGGGTGGGATTCTTGGAGTTGTCCTGTGCAGGGCCAGGAGTTGGACTTTGATGATCCTTGTGGGTCTCTTCCAACTCAGGATATTCCATGGTTCTGGGGTGGGGAAGCACCCCCAGAGCCACCTCTGCTGATCTCTGCTTCTCGGTGGTAGAAGCACAAAAGGGAAGCTCTGGAAGCACTTTTTGGTTAATCCCCTCTCCACGTTTGCTTTGGAAGGTGTACGACGACGGGAAGTTCGTGTACCTGGTGACTGAGCTGATGAGGGGAGGGGAGCTGCTGGATAAAATCCTCAGACAGAAGTTTTTCTCAGAGAGGGAAGCCAGTTCAGTCCTGCACATGATCTGTAAAACAGTGGAGTATCTGCATTCCCAAGGGGTGAGTATGGTCTTCCTGGGAATCCTCTGGCATTACACTGTGCTCCCTCTCCTCCAGGGAGTAACTCTGCCCGTCAGGACAATTATTTCTTGCTGGTGTTGCTCTCTTGGCAAAGCAGATGTGGGACCAGAGCAGAGGTTGAGTGTCCTCAGGCAGCTTTCAGACCTTTATCTACCTGGGGTGTGGCCCTTTCTTTGCTCCACAGGTGGTTCACAGGGACCTGAAACCCAGCAACATTCTCTACGTGGATAAGTCGGGAAACCCCGAGAGCATTCGGATTTGTGACTTTGGCTTTGCCAAGCAGCTGAGGGCTGAGAATGGGCTGCTCATGACTCCCTGCTATACAGCCAACTTTGTGGCACCTGAGGTAAGTGCTGACCTGAGACCCTCTGGGAGCCCCCTTGTCCCTGTTCTCCCTCTTGGCACAGTGGATCTGCCCCATTCCCAACTCCAGCCTGCCCTGGAAAAGGGAACTACAGAGATCCAACTTGTAATAATGAACAAATAGGAGATCCCAAGTGCAGTTACAGGGCAGTTCTCCAACCTGCACTGCCCTCATGAGAGGTCTGCTTAGGGTACTGAGACTGTAAAATCCCAGTGATTTCCTAGGCTGCTTCCCTTCCTCATTAAGTGACTTGTTAAAAGAGGTGGGATGATTTTCCACTCAGTTATCTTGGTGAGGAAGAAAGAAGGAGAGCCAGCATGGCATGGGAGCACACATGCAGTGTCACCACACTGGAACAGGGCTTCTTTCTTGACGTGCCTGAGGGGTTCCTCTGCTCCATGAAACCAAAGTCCGATTTGAATCCTGATCTTCGGTCCCAGACTTTTCTGTTCTGTCGGGCTCTGGATGCTTTGCACGTGGACTGCACCCGGGCCAAGCCCCCTCTTCTGAAATGAGCTCAGCGACAAGAACAAAACACACTTTATTTTCCCTTTGTTCTGCTCAGGTACTGAAGCGCCAAGGCTACGACGAGGGCTGTGACATCTGGAGCCTGGGGGTTCTCCTGTACACGATGCTCGCTGGGTAAGTGGCTCTGTCCCACTGGAAGGCAGGGCTGGGGCTGGGACCCCCCTGCTCTGCAGTGGCAGCAGGACTCTCCTCAGTCACTGCTGCCCAGTGGTGCTCCCTGCCTGTGTCCCAGGCCAGTAAATCCAGTGCTCTCTCCTCTCCTCTCTCCCCAGCTGCACTCCGTTTGCAAACGGTCCCAGTGACACTCCAGAAGAGATCCTGACCCGGATAGGTGGGGGGAAGTTCTCCATCAGTGGAGGCAATTGGGACACTATTTCTGACATGGCCAAGGTAGGGGTTGATATTTGTGTTGCATTCAAGGGTTGGGGTCAATCAAGGTCAGTTGCAGTGAGGCAAGTTTAGAGCAGGCTGGGGAGGGAGGACACAAGAGAGAGAGAAGAATACCAGCGGTGTAGCTTCTCCCCCATGTCTGCCTTCCACACAGCAGCTTTATTTCAGTTCTGGCTGTGAATATTTGCATGGAAAACCAACCTCGTGCCTGACCCATGTGGGGTTTGCTGCTGTGTTATACCTCCCAGGCCTGCCAAAAACATATTTCATACAAAAAGAGTTTGATGTCTGGGGATTTTAAACTTGGCCTCTGAATTTAAAACCTAATTTGGGGGCAGACAGGTGGTATTTTTGCATTTAAAGCATGAAATCTTCTAAAGTCTGACTTTTCCAAACGATGCCCTTAGGATTTGGTATCAAAGATGCTCCACGTAGATCCTCACCAGCGTCTCACAGCCAAGCAGGTCCTGCAGCATCCGTGGATAACCCAGAAGGACAGCTTGCCCCAGAGCCAGCTCAATCACCAGGACATTCAGCTTGTAAAGGTACAAAGTCTGGGCTGAGCCTTCAGCTGGTCCCTCGTGTACCTTGGGAAAGGTCCAGGTCGGGCAATGGTGGGGTGGGAAAGCAGGATGGCAGGTTGGAGAGGTGTGGGGCAGGAGAGGGAATACAGACAAGCTGGGTTTGTGGGGAGGTAAAAATGGGAGGTTCTCAAACAGCATATCAGTGCAGGAGGGAGATTTAAAGAAATAAGAAAGATGCTTCTGGCTTTGTTTGTGGGTTTGGCTGCATCTTGTAAAGCCACGAGTCTGAAGTAGCTCCTCTACACCCACATGATTTCTACACTTAAATTACCTCTCTCCTCCCTTTCTCCAAGGGTGCAATGGCTGCCACGTACTCTGCACTGAACAGCTCCAAGCCAAGCCCTCAGCTGAAGCCCATTGAGTCCTCCATCCTGGCACAGAGGCGGGTGAAGAAACTTCCCTCCACCACCCTGTGAAGCCGGGCTGGGCTGGGCTGCAGCCACACGGTGCAGGCACACACTGGATTTTGCACACCTGTGGACAGTCAGTATCTGCACTGGAGCTCCCTTGGAGGCTTGCTCTCAAAAGGCCAAGTGCCTTCCTGCTCCTGAAAGACTGGCTCCTCCTCGTGTGGACTGATCTTTGCCGAGAGAACTTCACTGTAAAACTTTTTTGAAGTGTAAATTGTCAATTTTTAAAGACATCCGTGTATATGAGAACTAGAATGTATAACTGATGTCAAGTGGCACTAAAAAGCAGCTCTGATTTCACCCTTCCCTGTGTAGGGCCTGGTATTTGTTGTTGCTACAGCATTTCTTGGAATTGTTCCTCTCCAGCTCCACTGCAGTTGGAAGACTGTACCACATTTGGGGGTTAGGCTTTGGGGTTTTTCCCTTCTTGAACCTTTGGATGCCCTTCCCAAAGCCGACCCTGCAGCCTCCCAGCCAGCAGTGCTCTTGTCCTTAAAGGACTTCCCTCCCCCTCACTTTCTGTGTGTGTGTTCCACGTGAGGTCGATTTTCCAGCCTCTGTTTCTCCCTCTCTCCCACACTCCCCCTGCCCAGCCAGCAGTTCAGTTCTCTGAACAAAATAAACCAGAGTTTTCCAAACCCTCCCTTAGATGCTTCACCTGTCCAGAACACCTGCTAGGTTTGGCTCCTTCCTTCCCTCTGCCCTCCCATCACCAGATGGGAGTTTGTCACCTGGGCAGGTGGGGATGACAACAGAACCTTCTCCTCGGCAAAGCCGAGGCTTTGGGCTGGCTCTGGCTGCTGCTTTTACCATTTTGGGGTTTTCCTTTCCCGTCAGCAGCAGGAACCTCTGAACAAAACCATCCTTTGTTTTTTTAATTTAACTTTGTTCTCCAGCTTGGTAACTCAGGGTTTCTTTCTGACTCGTACAATAAACGTGTCATTCAGGTGACTTTACGTTACTGACTGACTTTCAGCTGCAGAATCCGGTCGTTTCCCTGCCTTGTGTGGGGACAGTGCTCCTTGCCTGCCTTTTGGGAGAGCTGCAAAGCTTTTCACCCGGCCCTGTGGTGGGAAAACCAGCAGTAGGGCTGCATCTCATGCCACCTCCTCTCAGGTGCAACACCTCGCTCCGCAGTGGGAAGTGATTAGAACCGGTCACGGAACGAGGAGCTGGCAGGATGTGGAAGGGAATTTCTCTACTCTCAGGACATTTTAGTGCTAATAGAAACCAACACTTGGAGGCAAACTGTGCTAGAAATAAAATCCTGCCCCATTCTGACTTGCAGGGAATTGCTGGAGCTCCCTGGTTCCCTGGTGGCTGTTTCCTGGGAGAAGGAGCAGGGTTGCTAAAAGGGCTGCAAACACTCACGAGCTCGAGGATGTGACTGAAGCCAGCAAAGGTTCTCCTGTGAATTTCTCCTACTTTTAGCTGATCATGTCACAAGAGAGGAAATTTTCTTTTTTGCTTAGTCCCACTTGGCTTTAAAATGGAGAATTCCATAAAAAGAATTATCTGAAAAGTACAGCCCTCTCCTCCTCTACCCTAATCCAAGCAGGTCCTGGTTTAATCCCTGGAGCAGCCAGTGAGAAGCTGAAATAGTCACAATTTTTTTCTTTTTCTCTATTCCAAGTACAGCCTGAGTGTCCAGTGCTGCTGAGAGGAGGAGGCCAGCACCAGTTCACAGTGGATCCTCTTACTGGTATTGCCACTGACCCCAGCAGAGATGGATTAAATGTTCTGCTGAGATTTGGGGAGGGGGACACCATTATCCAAGATGCCTTCTTTAAAAATACTTGTTTTCACCTCTCTTCCCTACAACTCCACAGTAACTCTTGTGCCAGTGGTGTGCTAATTTTAGCTAATTTAATCTGTTGCAACCAACACAATAATTATAAACATCTTTCTGGAGCTGAGGTTGAAGTTGGGATTGAAGTGGACACCTCAGCAGTTTTTCAGAATACTTCCTACATTGTATTTCCAGGGAAGGCCTGGAGTGATGGATGGGGCTGGATATGTTGGTGGGAATCAACACTCCCTGTCAGCCTCTTGACATGGACCATCAGGGTCTTCAGCCTTGGCGTTTAGGGGGAATTAAACCAAATGTTTGCCCTGCTTGGAAGGTTGTTTGTATGAAATTGCAAATGTTTTCAAATATCAGTCAGGAAAAACATTATGACCTTTGCTCAATCCTCCCTGTGCTGTGCTGGTGTGAGGCCAACTGGGGACAACTCAGAGGTGTGTGGGGACAGCCGGGTGCAGAGCTCTGTGGGCACGGGGAGAGCAGCCCTTGGCCACGAGGTGATACCTGGGGCATCCAACCCCAATGCCTGGGGCACCCAACCCCTCCACCTCACTGGGGTTCTTCAGGCAGAAGAACTTTGTGTTTGGTGCAGCTGTAGCTTCTGGAACCTCCATCCCTCCGGAGCAGAGAGTGAACAAGAAGGGCTACACCTTCCCCTCCGAGGTGCTTTTACCCACGTTGTTCTGAGTGATCCATAAGTAAAAACAAGTCTGGATTTTTAGTTCCAAATCAACCAAGTGCTGTTACCTTTTTTAATTCCAGTGCTCAATAAAAATGGACTTGTTGAATTCTCTGTATATGAGAACTGCAGGTGTTTGTGACCGGCCGGGCTCTGTCCTTTCCTTTTTAATTTTGTCCTGACAGAATTAGACCTTTACCAAAATACAGTTGGGACCAACTGTTATCTTAACTGGAATTGCATTATTTGAGGTGAAAGTTGGCTGTCTAATGTCTGTTTTGGGGAGCTGGTGTCTGGGAGAGACCAAATGATCTTCTCTCACAAGAGTCTGAGCTCATTTAGCTGTAACTTGGGACAAAGGATACACAGAGGATATCACAAATTGTTATGACTTGAAAAGGGGTAGAAATGGATTTAACTTCCATGCATAAGGAAATCTTTGCAAGGAAAACTGCTTGTGTTAGTTCAGGTGTTTAATAATCGACTTGACCTTTAAGCTTTTGTCCTGTAGGTCTGTATGAAAGCTCGAGGGAGCAGAAATCCCAAAATCCAGCTTCGAATTGCTGAGTCTACCTGGAATTAACCTGTGCAGAAAGAGCATCCAAAGTCAAAGAGCCTGAAAATTATATTGAACAGCTCTATATAATACAGTTTTTGTGTAAGAAAGGTTAAACTTCCCTATTCTGGGGTATAAACCAGCAATATCTCTGCTGTAAAAGAGGCTGAGAGGCTGTTTCCCTTCTTCCCACTGTGTACCATAGCTGTGCCTTCCCCTTAATGATGTGGTTCTGCCCTCTGTCAAACTAACCAGGGCATAAATAAATGTATTTTGGCCCGATCAATATTCCCATCATGATTCTTTAGGCTGTCTTTAAAACTGAAGGCCAGTGACTTCCTCAGCAATCACCTTCTGTTCCTTTCTCACAGCGAAAGCGGTCTGGGTTTAGTCCCTCTCCCACCTTTGAGTCAGTTCACGTTAATTCCTTTTCCTGCATCTTTAGGCACTGGTGGGCGTTGGATGGTGCAGCTGGTGGCCTCCTGGGTGCCACCACCACCTCCTCGTGGTGGCCACGGCCGCCTTCCCAAGGACGGGGGAGGCTTCGGAAGCGCTGGGTGACTGCGAGCGTGTCGGACGGGATGTGGGGCGGGCGCCGGGCTTTCATGGAATATTCGACAATTTAATCCCTCTTTTAAGGCAAAGAAAAAACATTTAAAATATTTCAAGGTCTCCTTTTTGGCAGTACGTGGGGGCTCTGAATAAAACCTTCACTCACGCCAGGGAAGCTGGAGGGCCGCTGCCACTCCAGTTCCTTGCCTCCGGTTATTAAAACATCAAGCTGTCTTACTGCCTCCCTCCCTTTGTGTGGCACTGAACACCTGCCATTAATACTAATTCGACTCCGGAGAGAAACTCCCTTTCAGATATGCTTGTCTGAAAATAAATTGACATGTAAAAGGTCTCTTTTGTCGCGAAGTGCACGGAAAGTGCCGGGGTGAGGAGCCGATCGCTTACAAAAGGAGGCACTGACTCTTTAAATGACGTGTGGAGGGGGCGAGAAACGGGAAGTGGGGAGGGGGTGATGCTGTAACTGGGCTGATGTGATACAATTAGAGGAGGATCCCATGACTGCAACCTCTGTTTGGTGTTAGACTTTGAGATTTTGGGTGATTTTCGTCTAAACCCCTGCTCGTCTCGGGGGTGAGTGGCCGGGCTCTGCAGGGACCCCTTTGGAGAAAACTCTGTTTTGTTTAGAAAAATTGTTGTTATTACAAATAAGTACAACAAAAACTCAGAGCATTTCATGGTGAGCCCTTCAGTTTAGACGTATAATGAACTCCAGGGCTCCGTTGTTTTTCCTGGGACAAAAAATTTTGTAACACCGGAGAAGGGTCCTGTAGCTGCAACCCCTGTTTGGTATTAGACTGAGATTTTGGATGATTTTTGTCTAAACCCACGGTTGTCTCACGGTGAATTGCCAGGCTCTGCGGGGACCTATTTAGAGAAAACTCTTTTCTTTAAAAATCATTGTTATTATGAATATCTGCAACAAAAACTCAGAGCATTTGGTGGCGAGCCCTTCAATTTATATGTATAATGAACTCCAGGGCTCTTTTGTTTTCCCTGGGACAAAAGTTTGTATCACTTTCAATTAGGAAGTAGTAAAAGGATCCTTGGTTAGAGTATTTATTCTGTCCTACAGGCAGCAGTGTGAGCCAGCAGAAGGTCAATATTTTTATTTTTATTATAAAGAATGATTTCCTTTGAGCTCCTCATGCCCCGGGGAGACCAAGGCTCTCTCCTAAGAAAACAGTGTTAACTTGGTTATTTGGGCCAGGCTTTGGAGGGGGTGACATTGCTTGGAATTTGCTTTGGTGCTGAAATGATGCAGTTCCATGGCTGGGGATGAAGTGTGGCATGGACCTGGTGTTCAGCTGCTGCACGTTGGGCTTCTGGGTATTCCAGTGAAGAAATCATTCCTTTCATAATGAAGATCAAGTTGAAATATGTTCAGGGCTTGAAAAAGGGGGGAAAAAAAGGTAATTTTGGCAATTACAGATTAGCTGGTGTCACGTCTGGTTTATCAAACAAGCAGGAGCTCTCGGTGCTGCTGAGCTCCAATGCCATCTTCTTTTTAAACAGCAGATGGTGTTAGAAACCTGTAACAGGTGGAAGCTCTTCAGTTTTATGTGAGAGATCAGAAGTAGCAGCAATTTCTCGTCTCCCAAGGGGTAGTTCCTTCCCGAGCTGAACAGCAAGCTGGCCCTCTGCTTGGATAGTTATTACAGAGGGAAAAACTTCTGAATCACACATGTTCGTATGGAAGGAAGCAATTCTGATTCGACTTATTCTGGCTATAATAAAAGGAACCTGGTAATGGCCTCCATAATCCTCTGTTAGCAGCTCTAAAAGAGAGATGTAGTGGGGGAGACGAGCTGTGTTTGCTGGTGTGCCTCAAAATCGGGCTCCAATCTGCCAGATCTGTTGGTTCCTTGTCTATAATAGCACTTCGCCTGCTTAAAGTGTTTTATAAACATTTAATTACCGCAGCTTTTGACTCAAAGCCAGGAATCTCTCATTCATCTGCTGCTTTGCGAGGGCTGTGAAAATGATATTCAAATTACAGAACTGCAGGAAGGGCTGAGTTCAAACCCCAGTTAAGGAGAACCTCCGTTACTGGGATCTGTCCGCGGGGCCGCGTTTCCGAAGCGAGTTACTCCTCCAGCGCTGGAAACGGCAACGGGGAGAGATCTGAGGGCCTGTCAGTACCCCAGGACACGGAGCTGCATCTTAATCATGTTAGGGAAATGAGATGCTAAATTCTGCTCAGCTGGTGTTGTATGAACTTCTGAGGCAGGCGGGGAGTGCGGCTCTGTCTAGACTAGAGCCGCGTTTGATCCCCCAGCCCCGCCGTGTCCTTTGCTGCCGTCAGCAGCAGGAAAAAAATCAGTATTTGTTAGAAGTCGCTT